GTGGGGCGGCCTTGGGCACGCCAGGTGTGGCAGCGCCAGTGGCAGCATGAGGAGGCGAGGCAGGGGGGCCGGGCAGGGAGCCTGCCTGGCGCCGCCACCCGCGCACCTGCGTGGGGATGAGGGCCAGCAGAGTGGCCACGCCCGCCAGCGAGGCCCAGTAGCCCAACTTGGCGCCCACCAGCACAAACACGATCATCAGCTCCACTGCGGGAAGACAGGAGGAGGAGGGAGGCGGAGGGTGGGCAACAGCGAGAGCCGGCCGGGCAGCCAGATAGCCAGGCGCGCGAACAAAACAGCGGCGCCAGCCACGCAGCCAGCAGCCCGGGCAGCCCGCCCAGCATTGCAGGCGGCAGCGTGGCAGGCGGGGCTAAATGGCGTGCCACTGGGCGGCGTGCCTGGTGCCTGCAAAGCAGGGTATGGGCGGCGATGGTGGGGTGAGCAAGCGGCAGCCATTGGCATGGCATTTGTGCAGGCCAGTGCATGCGCGCGCACACACACACACACACCACCGCACGCACGTGCACACCACCGCACGCACGCCGCCACCAAACTGCACACGCCCAGACGCCCGCACGCCACAAGCCCACCATCAGCAGGAAGTTATAGAAGGGGAGTGCGTCGTCGAAGCGCCGCACGTCGTTGCTGACCAGGTTGACGATCTGCTTGGTGGCAGGGCAGGCAGGGGAGGCGTGTTGTAAGTGGCAGGGCGGGAGGAGGGAGGTGGGCAGGGAGGACAGGTGCCGGGAGGCGAGGAGGGGAGGGGAGGGGGCGGGGGCCAGGACGGGAGGTGGGGAGGGGCGGGCGGGGAGAGAGGAGGCTGCTGCGGCGGGCGCTCTGAGGGGAGGCGGCCGCAGGCTCGGGAGGCCGGCGGCAGGGGTGCGTGCGGCAGCCCACTTCATGGGAGTGCCCTGCTGGGCTGGGCATCCAATGCCGACGGCCACCTCCAGCACCCGCCCAGCCCAGCACCCGCCCAGCGCAGCCCAGCGAAGCCCAGCCCAGCCCAGCCCAAATCAGCCCGACCCCACCCCTGTAGACACGGCATCCCCGCCCGCGCACCTTCCCCGCCGTCTGGTCGCCCACCGCAACCGAGTTGAGGTTGAGCACTTTGGCCTGCACCGCCGCCACCGCCTGCTGGCGCATGTCGTAGCCCAGGCGCATGCCGTACCTGCGGGCGGGACCGGGCGGTACAGCCGGGCAGGGCAGGCGGTACAGTTGGTCACGCAGGCAGTGAAATCGAGTTGAGCATGTCGTAGTCCAGGCACGAACAGTATTGGGGCGCGGTACGGGCAGTACAGCGCACTCAATCTGGCAGTGCAGGCAGCAGGCAAGGCAGGGAGGCAGTGCAGCCAGCGGGCAGCGCAATCAGCCAGGCAGGCAGGCAGGGAGGCGGGCCGCCGGCTCCGCAGGCAGGCAGGCGCCGCTGCCACACATGCTTCTGCGTATGGCAGGCCGCCGGCTGCGAAATCACCAGAAGAGCTGGTGGTGGATGAAGCAGTAGCAGTATCCAAACACGCCCATCACCGCAGCCCACATCCAGCCCCGCCACACAGGGTACAGCTGCAGCGGGGGGCATGGCAAGGAAGGCGGGCGGGCGGGTGAGCGCTCGCTGGCCGCGCCGCTGCAAAGGGTTCCGGCCTGGGGGTGAAAGATCAAATCATAGCCCCAAAATCCCCGCAGCCCCCAAAAACACGCTGCCCAGCATGAAAGCAAGCCAGCACACACAGCACTACGGCTGCTGTCCTGCCCGAGGCCGGGTTTCCGCAGGAGGGGTAGCGCGCTAGGGCAGGGAAAGCGCACGCAGCACACGCAGCAGCCCCGCCTTGCCTCCGTGTTCCCGCCGCTGGCCTCGTAGCCGGAGAACCAGGTGATGAGCTGGCGCAGCACCAGCGGGGCCCCCACCCTGCGGGGCAGGCAGCAAGCGCGGGAGGCAGGCGGGCGGGTGGATCTCATCACACAACCTTTTGCTGCCTGTTTCGTGGTGTCCTTGGAGGGCTGCAGCGGTGGAGCGTGGGCGGGGCTGGCGCCTCGCCCTCCCACCCCACCTGGTCCCGATTTCGGTGGCGGTCCAGCCCAGGTGCACCAGAATGCGCCACCTGCAGCGGGGCGAGCAGCAGGGTGGGCAGCGGGGTGGGCACGGGAAGGCAGGTGGCGGCGCGAGCGAGCGCGACTCCTGGCGGCGGCCCCGCAGCAGCAGGCTGGCAGCTGAGCCGCGGCGCGCGCGGCTGCGCCTCGCCTGTAGAGGCGCCAGTAGGCACGCCACATGAGGCCGCTGGGGGAGCAGCGTCTGCGCCGCCGCTCCTGCTCCGCCTGCGCAGAGGGCCGGTGACCAGAGGCACGTTAGCGACAGGCAGCAGGCCTCTCTGCCTCTCCCGGGCCGCACCACAGCTGCCTTCGGCACTGCTGCCGGCCTCGGTGGCAGGCTGCCCCAGCCGGCGGCTCCCCAGGGCGTGCCCATCCACCCACCTTGACCTGCGCATACGTGGCGTCAAAACGCGCCGCCAGCTCCTGCGCCGTGTCTGCCTGCGGCAGGTACGCTGCCGCGCTGTCCTCTCCAATCTGCGGCGCAGGAGCGGAAGGAGGGGCGGCGAGCGATGGGTGCCAGCTGCGAAGCCGCCACCGCTTGCTGGCTGCCGCGGTGGGCAGCTAGCGAGGCCAGGGTCTGCCAGGCGCATGCATGCATGCGTGACATGCATGCATGCATCACGCGCAGGAGGCACACCACATGCCAGGCCCCCCCACAGCCTGGCAGCCCGCAGCCCCCTCCTGCCTTGTTGTGCCAGCCCAACTTGATCAGGGGATCCACAAAAGCGTAGGTGGCCTTTGACATGGGCCCCGCGTGCTGGAAACCGGTGGTACCGAAGCGGCGGCGATAGAGCAGCGGGTCGTCCTCCCGGCCGCCAGCTTCACCCCGGGGGCTGGTGGCGGCGACACCTGGCGCCGGCTCGGCGGCGGTGGCGGCTGCCTCCGGGTGCTTCCCCATCGCGCCTCCTGCTCGTGTATAGCTCCCGGAGCCTTGCCTGATGCCTTGTCACTGGCAGGAGCAGGGAAGGGCTGGGCGCATGAGCGGAAACAAATGCGGGGCCGCGGGGAGGAGTGCTGCAAAACCCTGTGGCTGCGGTGGATGGCAATTGGGCCGATCCGTAGCAAGAAGGAATGGAGAAATGGGTGATTAGGCTGCATCTGGTGCTCTCTCTCTGCCACCTGGACTTGGTGGACTTTTGCGCACCGCATGGGTGTCGCCCGCGATGGGGCACATGCCGGAGGTCTACAATCACATGGATGATCATTTCTCCTGTCCCCAGTTGCGCCCTCGATCACCGCTGCCACAGCTTTGTTTGTTTGTGCGTTTCGGCGAGCTAGCGGCACTTAGGGAGGCGCCCGCGGCCCTCGTACCGTCGCGCAGCACGCAGGGAGGACATCCGAGAGGTGACGAATCACACCGCCGGCACAGCGGCAAGCGGCCGCTGCGGGCTGCAGCAATCAGCGGCCTCCAAGTCAGGTGGCGGCACGACCCCAGCTTGCCCCTCCCATTAGCATCAGTGTGAGGTCAAGCGTGTCAGGCACTCCACGTCGGCACAGCAGGGCCATGCACCCGAGCCCGCCGTGGTGGGCAGCTGGCGGTGACACAATCGCCGGCAGCGGGCCCAGCAACACCGGCGGGGCCAGCAACACCGGCGGGGCCAGCAACACCAGGGGGCAGCCCGGGCCTGCTCGGGACGCCGCAGCGCGGGCAGCCAGCCGGCAGGCGGCCTCCAAGATCGGGAAGGCCCTGTTGGGCGATGCGGCTGAGGAGCTGGTGCGGCACCCCGTCGCCGGCGAGGGCGCGCAGCAGGCGGTACACAAGCCGTACACCGTGCCGCCAGGCTGGAAAGCGCCCACCCTGGGGGAGCAGTTCCGCTACGTGCGCCCCGATGCCGCTGCGCTGCTGTGCTTTGGGGGCATGCCAGCGTGGTGCTGCCACCGCATGCGGCCGGGTGGCGTGCAGCAGCGCTGCGTGAGTGCAGGCAGCCAACCACCCCACCCCGCCCTTGCTGCGCTCGCCTGCAGGCCGCCATGCGGCACCCCTACTCTCGATACGGCTATGTGGCGGCGGTGGTGATGGGGCTGCTGGGGTGGGCTATCGCGAGCGAGGAGAAGAGGCACCCCCGGGAGCGGCAGGCGGAGCGGCAGGCGCAGGGCGGCGGCGGTGGCAAGTAGCCGCTGCTGCCGTGGCGCTGCTGATTGATTGATGTCGTAATCAAGACCTATCGGTTGGCTGACAGTAAAATACAGGCGTGTGGGAGTTGGGTCAGGCGAGGGCTGTAGCGGTCAGATGAAACAGTATACGTGAATGCGGGTAAAGGAGCGCCAGCTGGCGGCCAGGCCGTCTGACGATGCGCTAGCTGTCGGTCTGGGGCGGCACCTCAAACCGCCACAGATCCACCTCGATGTCGCGGCTCTTCTGCCTGCGCAGCAAGAACAGCAAGCAAGCGCGGGGAGGGTGCACAGGAGCTCAGCCCGCAGGCGCCTGGCGTCTGCTGGGGAGCGCCAACGGGGAACCACACACCATGCACGCTTTCCCTCCTCCCAACCATCCACACCCTGCCCTGGCACCCACTTGTGAAACTTGTAGCTGGCTGGCAGGTCGTATCTAAGTTGCGCCAGCACCTCCGCTGCGGGGCAGCCGGCAGCCAGCGGGAAGGCAAGGGCCGAGCTCTCAGGCAAGCCAAGCCGCAAAGGGTGCGCCCAGGCAAGCAAAGCCGCCCCAGCGCACAGTCAAGGCCGATCAAACGGTCAAACAGCAAGTGCCGAGCCATGCCAAGCCCAGCAGGCGGGCGGGCAACAGGCGGTCCGGCAGGCACCTGACGCCGCCCGCAGCTCCCGCTCCGCCAGCCGCTGGATGTACTCTCGCGTGCTGCTCTTGTGCAGGGAGTAGACGCTGTTGCGAGACAGCTGGAAGGCGGCGCGCAGGAACTCCGCGTCTGCGCCTGCAACAGCAGGAAGCACGAGGAGGCATTGGCAGGCAGGACGGCAGCCAGCATCAGTGCATGCAAGAAAGCTCATGCCAGGGTGCCTGGCAGGCAGGGCGGCAGGCGGTGATTTGTTCTGGGCGTGTGAAGAAACAAACAGAGGTGCGCACCTTTTCGCCGGGTGCCAAAGGGCGGGTTCATGACGACAGTGTCGGCTCGAAGGCGCCGCTGCAGCGCCACCTGCCCCACATCGCACCGCACAAAGTCTATCTGTGGGGGGCAGGGCAGGCAGTGGGCAGCGTGGCAGCGGGCAGGGGTCGGGGAGAGGCTGTGCTCAAGAGGGGAACTGGGATGTAGTCTGGCGGTGGGCCACACCAACACACACACACACACACACACACACACGCACACGCACGCCCGCACACAAGCAGCGCCTGCCACCCCACCGGCAGCGGTTCTTCGTATTCCTCCGCATTCTGCTGCGCCACACGCAGCGCATCGCCGTCCACATCCACCCCCACCACGTGCAGCGCCCCCAGCATGGCGGCCCCTATGCTGAGCATCGCCTGTAGAGGGGCGGGGCGGGAGGGTTGGTGTGTGTGTGGAGTGGAGAGTGGAGTGGAGTGGAGTGGAGTGGAGTGGAGTGGAGTGGAGTGGAGTGGAGTGGAGTGCAGTGGTGGAGTGGAGGGTGAGTGCGCCTGCGCCGCCTGCATTTGGCTACCATGCTGGTCCAGTGGCAGGCTGGCCTGGGCAAAACAGCACACAGCACCAGACATCGGGAAACGGGCAGGCAGCCGGGCAGGCATCCCAGCCCAGCGGACCGTGCCGCAGCCCAGGTCAATCACGGTCTGCCCTTCAAACTCGTCGTAGCTGTTGGCTACCTGCATTCAGGCGTGTGGTGGTGCTGCTTCAAGCCTACGGAGGCATAACCGCTGATCAGGCTGCCCTGCTTGGTGCCGCTCAGCCGTGGGCGCACCGTGTACAGCATTCGCGCAGCTATGTGAGGCCCAGTGGGGTACTGCTCCAGCTCTATTTTGGGGTCTTCAAAGGGCGCTATGTCCTGCACGGGTGGGCGCGGAGAGATTGTGCAGCAGCGGCGGGCAGGCAGCGGGCAGGCAGCGGCAGGAGCGGCATGCGGTGTGCGCCGCCGCACGCCGCCGCGCGATGTTTGGCTCGACCTGCAGCACACCTGCATCAGCGATTCGAGCTCTTTGAGCTTCATCGCGCTGTTTCGTTGCAATCGCAGGGCTCTCCAAAGGCAGCGACGGCTATAATCGAGCTCAGAATCGAGATATCTAAACGACAGCTGAGCAGGTGGGTTTGATCAGGCTGTCTGGCACCGCCTGCACATCTTCAGCCGGCGCCACGGTGGCAGCGTTCCGCCGCCTGTGAGCCGTCGGCACACAGGCTCCCCACCATCGGCCTGCAGATGCTGGCTGGCTGCCTGCTCCATTACTGCATCCTTTCCTGTTATGGTGAACCTCTGCACTCTGTGGGCAACATGGCTCGGCAGAAGCTCCCGCCAGCACAACATCTGTCAAACCCACATGCGTTCAGCCATGCTTGCCGCCGCTCCTAACGTCAGCTTCTGGCTCAAGCACGGTGTGGTTCTCGCCGGTTTGACCTGCAGAGGAGACCAGCATCTGCCCCCCCCTGGCGCCCGCCTGCGGCGGCGGCGGCCCTGGCCGCCTTGCTGGCTGCCAGCATCAGCAGCACCAAAAGGAGTTCCCACGGCGCCTCGCGTTGACCCATACCTCTGCGTCCCTCTCTGCAGCTTCCCGTTTGTCGACAGGCCCTACAGGCGTGGTAGTTCTTTGTGCCCTCCTGCCTCTAGCAGCCGCCTCTCCAACGCTGGAGCCGATCCTCGAGCCGTGTGACTCGCTGCTCACTGACAGCGGGAACCCCGTTGGGTGACGGCATCTCCCCTCGGGGTTGGCCAGCCTCCAGAGCCTTCCCTCAGCCACTCGCCGCGGCAGCAAGCTAGCGGAGTGGGCGCAGCGACCCGCAGATAGGCGGCAGCGGGCGGCATGGTGCACGGCGGCCTGGCGGCTCTGGCGCAGGCGGCACGGCGAGTAGCAGCGGCGCCGCGGCCTCGCAAAGCCGCGCTGGAGCTCACAGACGCGGCCGTGGAGCGAGTGAAGGAGCTGCTGCATAAGCGGAACAAGGTGGGGGGCAGCACCCATGCTTGCATGGCTGCTGGGCGCTGCCGCCGCTTGCACTTCCTGCTTGTTGTTGTCAGTTGGCTGCTGCCCGACTGACGCCATTCCGCCCTGCTCTCCCGCCCCGTTGGCTCCCTCAGGAGTTTCTGAAGCTGGGCGTGAAGACGCGGGGCTGCAACGGCATGGCATACACGCTCAATTATGCAGACAGCAAGGTGGGCTGGTGTTGTGGCTGCGAGTCCGGCCGGCATATATGTGCATGCACAGCATGGCACCGAGCGACCGGCCAACCCGCATGCCCCTGCCCCTACCTCCCGCCCCGCCCTGGGCTACACAAGCCGCCGCTGTTCCTCACGCCCGCCACCCGCCTGCGTGCCTCCCGCACTGGCCTCTGTGCCCGCAGGGTCGGTTTGACGAGGTGGTGGAGCAGGAGGGGGTCAAGGTGCTGATTGACCCTGGGGCGCTCATGCACGTGCTGGGCACCAAGATGGACTGGGTGGAGGACAGGCTGAGGTGGGCTGGTGGACTGGGGCTGTGGGCGCGCTCGTGGCTGTGGGAAAGGGAGCGGGTGTTGGGCGGGCTGGTGCAGAGGACAGGCCGTGTTGCAGCATGCGTCTTGTGGGTGGTCATGCGGCTGTGCGAGCGGGTGTGGAGGGGGCCGCAGTGGAGTGCTCAGCCCTTTGCCCTCAACCTCCCCCCAACCTCCTTCCATCACAGGTCTGAGTTCATCTTTGTGAATCCAAATGCTAAGGGCACCTGCGGCTGCGGCGAGTCGTTCACGGTTGACGCCAAGGCGGCCCGGCAGAATGCGGCGGCGGCGGGGGTGCAGCAGGCCGGCGGCGGCAGCGGCGGCGGGCAACATGGATGAAGGCTGCGGCGGCCGCGCCCGCGCCCGAAAGCCTGCGGCCGCGCCCGGAAGCCGCGTGTGCTGCCGGGCGGCCGCGCATTGCTGCTGGACAAAGCCTGCTCCCCAGCAGGCTGCTCCCTCGGTGTGCGGCCGCGCCCGCTGGCTCGACATGCGCACACCTGGCCCGCCTGGCGGCTCCCGCGCCAGGCAGCCAGCCAGCTTTTGGCGAGCCCTGTTCCAGGACTGCGCACCCCTTCCCTTTTGTGTATCGCCCACCCGGCCGAAAACGAACCCCCTCCGCCCCCCTGCAGTCTTCACGTTGCAGGCGGGGAGGCTGCTTCCATTGTTGCAGCCCCCTGCCTGCCTGTATCACCACGTTTGCCGTTCCCAGCTCCTCTGCCCTGCTCCTCCCGCCTCTCTGCTCCGCTCCCTGCCCTGCTCTCCCTTCCCCTATCCCTGCAGCGCGCTTCGGCGCCTGCCTAATTTGATTGTGTAAACTGAACTGAGCCGTGCGGAAAACAAGTAGGGGGAGAGAGAGGACAGGTGGGAATTGCAGTTTGATCAGAAGAAAAAAATATTTGAAGTAGCAACCGACTGGAGAAAAGTTAAGTTAAACTGCAATGGCCACTGTGATGTGAACCTGTCCCACCTGCCTACTCAATACGGCAGGCCCGCAGCACGCGGTAGCTGCCGGAACGGTACTCTGCCGCCAGCTGCGCCTGCGGTACCTCCTGTACCGCAAAGCCAACACCCTCCAGTAGATCCAGGAAGCTACTCTCTTGCAGGCCTGGAGGAATGGGGGCAGGGCAAAGCGGTAGGTGGTTGCGCGACAGACGGCCAGAGCCGGAGCAGGTTTGCCAGGGCAGCCATGCAGGGTTTAGGGTTTACTAGCCAGGCACAGGCAGCAACTGGCAAGACGCAAGGCACCGCCCCACCTCGCTTCTTGTAAGCCACATAGACGAGCGTATGGGGCGCTGCCAGCTGGCGCAGCGTGGCTGCCAGGTCAGCGTAGCAGGCTGGCTGGTACACCACATCTGCCGCCGTGATGACATCAAAGCACGGCGCTGGCGGGCCGGCGGCAGCCGCGGCCGACGCTGGCAGGGGTGCGCTGCCGGCGGGCGCGTCGGTCGCTGCCGCGGGCGCCGCGCTGGAGCCAGCGGCAGGCGGGCGCTGAAGTAGCGTGGCAGCTGCATCGCCCTGCCCCCAGGTGTAATCCACCACGCAGGCTCTGTGCAGGCCTGGCGTAAGGTTGGCCTGCAGCAGCCGGGAGCCAGGTGAGGAGCCAGGCGGGCGGGGCAAGGGAAGGTTGGTGGTGGGTGGCTGCGTGGTGGGCGGCTGCGTGGCGGGCGGCTGCGTGGCGGGCGGCTGCGTGGCGGGAGGCTGCGTGGCGGGTGGCTGCGTGGCGGCGGTGTGGTGCGGCGCCGCGGTGGTGGCGTGGCGGGCGGTGCTCGCGAGACGCGGGCTCTCATGCGCAGCACATGCTGGCCGCTCGCCAGCTGCCCTGCCTTGCAAAAACCAGCTGCCCTGCCCTGCTCACCCGCATGTTTTCCTCTGCCAGGGGTGTGATGTGGGGTTGGTCACTGAGCACCACCTCGGCGCCAGCCAGCGCCAGCAGGATCCCCACCAAGCCTGCAGGGATGGGGGGGAGGGCGGCGGATGCGTGCGTCTCCATGTGAGGGGCGGGGCGGCGCGGGAGGTGCGGCGAGCGGGGGCCGGCCCAGCAAGCAGGAGGGACATCGGGAAGGCGAGGAGAGCTGGCTGGCGAGGGCGACAGCAGCAGGGCCAGGGCGACTTGACAAAACAAAGCTGGAGCTTAGAGGCGGCAGCGCCCAGATGCGGTCCTTTGCCCCACGCCCCCCCTGCCAGGCTGCCCGCAGGCCGCGCTGGCAGGCCGCCCCGGCTGCGTCCCCATGCCACACAGGGGACAGCCCCGCTGCCAGGCCCCCTCCCCCTCCACCTGTGCCGCAGCCGAGGTCTAGGACGGCGGCGCCGTGCCAGCTGCCAAAGGGCGGGCGCCGCAGCAGCAGGTCTGCCAGCACGAAGCCGGCCTGCCACACCACCAGGCCCACCCGCTCCAGCTCGTCGGCTGCAGCGACGGTGCAGGCAGGGGCGTGGCACGGAGGGTGGGCGACAAAGCCGGCATAGCAGATATGAGCTGTGTGGCGACCGTCTGGTCACGGCAGGCTGGAGGTGCCTGTGTGTGATGGCTGGCGGCCTGCCTCTCCACTATCGCATCAGCACAGCATCCATCTCTGCCAGCAGACGGATAAGGCGGGCGGCGGCAGCCTCCCAGGCAGGCGGCAGCCCACCCGTCAGTATGGGCGGAATCTCCCCGCCGCCGTCCGCCCACACTCGGTCGTCGTCCAATGGCCGCAGCGCGCCGCTGCCCCGCATGTCCTGCCGCAGCTCCACCGCTAACCCCGCCACCTCGAACCGCCGGCGCTCCAGGCCGCCGCCGGGCTGCTCACCGCGCGCGATGGCGGCGGCGCCACGGTCCGGCTGTGCCATGGGCAGGGCAGCTGGCGGGCAGCAGGGCAGGCGCTCCGGCAGGGTTGAGCTCCAGCCAGCGGCTCTGGCCTACTGATTGGTTCCCTTTCTCTGTATCAAGCCATGCCCTCGCCGCGCGGCGGCTGCAGCCGCGGCCGCGCCAGCGGCGGCCAACCTCCCGCCTCGGCGGCTACCAGCGCCGCCAACGCCAGCGCAACTCCAGCCAGGTCTGCGCCCAGATCTCGCGCCGACACCACTCCCGGCCACCACTGCACGTGGGGAGAGGAGGCCGGTCAGGCCAGGGTCAGGGCTAAGTGGGCGGTGCGCGATGGGTGGCGGCGGCGCCGCCCTGGCCTGCACCCACCTGCAGCCAGTCGCCGAGTTCCTTGGCCAGGCCCGCTGCCAAGCCGGCGAAACAGGCCAGCAACAGCCTGTGGCGGCGGAGGGACTCCCAGGAGCGTGAGCCAAGGTAGACGGCGGAGGTGATTGCGAAACAGAAGGCAAAGTGCTCAGCCTTGTCCCGAGCCAGCCAGGGATCGAGCTCGGAGGGCAGCGCGCGCATCGATCGGAGGAGCGGAGCGGGGAGGGGCACATGACACGGGCCCCGCCACCCCACCGCCAGCCAGGCGGCGCCTGCATCACACGGACAACTGTCGCTGTTTGGGCTGTCAGCTTAAGAAACCCCACAATTGGTTTGGCACAGCTGCTGGCTCCTACGGCGCTGCTGGTTGGTTCCGCACACATCGCGGTTGTGCACCGTTACAGCGAGGCGAGTCGAAAACATATTCAGTGTTGGGATGCACATGTATGGAGGGTGGGAGGGAGGGATAGGCATTGTGGCCACAGCCTGGCGGCCACACTGTCCTCGCCACTGCTATACGGCAGGGCACGCCCGGTGTGTGTGTCACAAGGCAGCACAAGGCAGCGTGCGCAGCTGGCTCTCGCTGGTGGAACCAGGGACAACTTGCAGTGCGCGTGATGTGGAGAGAGAGGAG